TGCATCTTAGTGAGACGCACCTAATAAAAATATAAAAAACATAATTCACAAAAAAGGCTAAAATACCCCCTAAACTTTATAGGGGTATTTTTGTCAATTTATTTGATGTAAAATATTTTTTTGATATTTTTCGTAGATTCGCCTATTTCTGATGAACACATTTTTCAAATTTCAGATCATTCCGATTTGTAGAAAAAAAGAAAATAAAAATAAAACACTACCGAACAATCGTGATCGTGCGATGAGTTTTGGACAGTGATGAAGATAGACAAAATCAGTATTCCTTTTCGCCTATATACGTTTTGTAGTATCTTTCCAAAATTAATATTAAAAATTATAAGTAATTGTGACCACCCATTTACTTCTCTTCTAATCTAAAACCATTGGGAGCGTGCATGTGTACCGTTCAAAGGTCCGCTTGATGTGGATCGCATATTTTGGTGATGTAACTTCAACTTAGCGACTAACCTTAAAAAATGCACTTAAACATGCCTACTGCTACTGCTACTAATAATAATAATAATAATAATAGTAATAATAATAATAATAATAGTAATAGTAGTTAATAATAATAATAATAATAATAATAATAATTATAAAAATAATAGTAATAGAAGTTAATAATAATAATAATAACAATAATAATAATAATAATAATAATAATAATAATAGTAATAATAATAATAGTAGTTAATAATAATAATAATAATAGTAATAATAGTAATAGTAGTAATAATAGTAATAGTAGTTAATAATAATAATAATAATAATAATAATAATAATAATAATAGTAACAGCAGCAGTAGTAGTAGTAGTAGTAGTAGGAGTAGCAGTAGCAGTAGCAGTAGCAGTAGCAGTAGCAGTAGCAGTAGCAGTAGCAGTAGCAATAGCAGTAGCAGTAGCAGTAGCAGTAGCAGTAGCAGTAGTAGTAGTAGTAGTAGTAGTAGTAGTAATAATAGCAGTAGCAGTAGCAGTAGCCGTAGCAGTAGCAGTAGCAGTAGCAGTAGCAGTAGTAGTAGCAATAGTAGTAGTAGTAGTAGTAGTAGTAGTAGTAGTATAATAATAGTAGTTAGACTAGTTAAGCTAGTTAAGCTAGTTAGCTAGTTAGCAGTTAGCAGTTAG